CCCCACTCCCTCTCTTTTCACCTCACCCCACCCCATCCCAATCCACGACACCTAACTTTACTCTCTCACCTCACCTTAGAACAACTTCAAAGAGGCCACGAAACAGACAGGGCAAGTACCGCATTCTTTTAAGCATTTCTAATAATTACTAGATGTGCCAGCTAGTCTCACAGCTTGTTAGTACCATGAAGTACCATTCTGATGTGGGGAATAAGTTACAATTTGTAGGTTTTAAAAATTTTATAACTTTCTCACTCCATTTGTTTGCATTGCCGTGTCGTGTAGTGTTGCGTCTTCGAATCCTAGTTCTGTATTTATTTTTTCTTGTTTGTTTGTTGTTTTTTTTTGTGAAAAGATTCGCCTTTATGCTACAGATGCAAGTTTAATATCACTTTTTATATTAAATACTATGTGTAAAAATCATTACTGATAAATGGAGATATCTAGCGCCTTGTAGGTACTTACAAATAACATTGTTGTTTAACGATGTTGATGTAAAAATAAAAATCTTAAAAAATTAGATACTTATTATTTACCCATTCGAATATTCGTACATAGTTGTGGAATGGCTGATTTTTTTTTCTTGGTTCTCGACAAATAAGGGTTAAACAAAGGAAGTCGCATGTTCTTAGAGACTCCGCGATTAAGATGCCCTTAATATTTTTTAAAACTAAATATTTGATTGAATCGTACGTATGAAAGTATTGTCTGCTTAGTGGCCGAGGTCGGCAAGTCGAAGGCAGTAACGTCTCGTCTCGGTCGCGCGTTCGAGGTCCGCGAAGGCATAGACTTTTACTAGTGTTGTAGCATGTTAGGCCTCCATTCATTCCACTCCCCAGAGGATCCCTTGGTTCTTGTCCCATGCGGCTGCCCTAGGAGCTTTCGGTTGAGGCGTTAAACCTGGCCGAGGCCATTTTCTGAGTACCCACCCTCCCGCCGGTAGTGTAGGGCGGGCGACAATCGGTGGCCTCCCACACAGTCGTAAAGGCCCATTCACAATGCAAACGTAAACACAAGCATGGCGTTGACATAAAAATTAGTACTTCGTCCATGTGCGGACTCATTCACAATGCGTTCGCATAAGCACAACACGTAAGACGTTAACATAAAAGCTCGCAATCTTCAAGCTTCTGTGGTTATGATGGAAGACATAAGAAATGAACATATCAGAGAAAAGTATCTCAAAATCGATAATCGAAATTTGAGCGAAGTCGATAGAAGGACAGAAATCGATTCTCACATCCAACCAGAAAGTCTCACAGCCAATAGGAACTTATTTTGCTTACGTTTATGTTAGGCATTGTGAATACTTCAGTCTATCGCTTATGTTAATGTTTATGTCTATGCGCTACGCTTATGTTGACGTTTGCATTGTGAATGGGCCTTGAGGGCGCTTTCACACGGGGCCACTCTTTGTCGCCACCGACCAACGCCGAACCCCTTCACACGCAGCCAACGCCGAGCCCCTTCACACGCCAGAAAGGAAGGATTTGTGAGTCATACCGTCGTGCGCGCCGGCGGCTGCAACGCAGGCAGCTTCAGTGGCGCGTTCCAGTGGTGTAGTATGAAGGCTTGCATTTACAACTGCATTCTGCTGCTAGTGGCGCTGACACACGTCTGCGCTTACGGTAGTGGAAATTCGTGTGAATACCTCCATTCCAACCAATGTCTTCCAGCGGAGACGCCACTCAAATGCACTGCTGAGTGGCGCCATGTGAAGGGGTCCTAGGGGAGGTAGCGGAGCACAGCCGCGAAAGGGTCCCTCCAATGGCTGGGTCGTAGGGGCTCAAGGGCCATGCCAGTGCGGATTTTGTAAGTACATGCCGAAAATGCGAACCGGTGGATCACTTAGATGTCAGTGGGGGACCCATGATACCACACCTGGAAATTTATGTCTCAGCTGGCGGGAGGGAGTGAAACAACCACCTCAGCAGTGGTTCCATGCTATGAAGTCGAAAATGATAAAAATGTTCTCATACATTAAAAACAATATTTCATATTTACTTTTAAAATTACAAAGTTTATAGTTTATTTTAACATTATTTTTATTATTATATTTCCTTTGTTTAACTTTTGAATATGTTTATGGTGCCTTATAGTTTTGTCATGCTTACGGCTTCTTAAGACTAGGTGCGCTCCTCCGAGGCGTTAAGCCCAATGGTCAGGCCCTGTCCCAGCGATAATCTGCGGACCACCGCTGCTTCTGAGTGGGGGGTCCAGTGCTTGTTGGGAGACGCTCGGGTGCGATCGGTTCTAGTCTAGTGAACGGCACTTTTCCCACGCGCCACTGCTGCGGGCCTCCACGGGCAGCGTGACCTCGATTCTTGCATTTGAGCAGATATGCCATGCGACATTAATGCGCGATGATTCACAAAAATCGGCTGGCCGGTCGGAGTCGAGATTGTTCACTCGTGAGTGCAAAGGCGATCTTGGGCAGTAGCATTGCCTATGCATATCCGGTGTGTTTACGAATGTGTTGTGATGTGATGATTGTGTGTGGTGTTGTGATGTGAGCTTTCCCATAATCCTAGTATCCTCTTTCCATCATTATCCCAGATATTATGGTCTGCCTGTGAGGCATAGGAGACTGGGTTACGGGTTGTAAAGACGCTGCATACGAGCGAATCATTCACCAATATGTGCCCTCCAGCAGTGCGGTGCGCGCAGGCTCGGCTACAGCTGCCGGGACGTGTACAAAGCGCCCACGATCTTAATGCGCACCCAATGTTACGCCCCCTTCATACAGAGCAACTAAACAGCGCTTCCGATTCTCGTCTGCTGACAAAGTATAGGTTTAAAAGGAGGTTTTCACATGAGAGGCGAAGTGCCGCTACCTGTAATGGAGACATATTTCCGCCAGGCGAATCAGTTCTAAACGTCAGTTTTCACACTACGCCATTCGGACATGCCACTGAGCTTACATGTTGGCTACCTTTCACCTGCCGGCACTCACATCAGCGTGTCTCAGGAATCCTTCCTTTCCCACGCCCAGAGGCGGCGTGTGAAGGGGGCCGCGTAGCCCGGTGGCGCCGCCGAGTGGCGGCCCCCGAGCGGTGGCACCGCGTGTGAAGGTGCTCGGTGGCGCCGCCGAGTGGCTGCCCCCGCGCGGTGGCGCCGCGTGTGAAGGTGCTCGGTGGCGCCGCAGAGCGGCGGCCCCCGAGCGGTGGCGCCGCGTGTGAAGGTGCTCGGTGGCGCCGCCGAGTGGCTGCTCCCGCGCGGTGGCGCCGCCGTATGACAGCTCGTGTGTGTGTGGCGCAGGCACGGCTACCGCTGCCCGGAGGCGTACAACCCGGCTGAGTTCTTCATGCGCGCGCTGGCGCTGACGCCGGGCTCCGAGGAGAGCAGCCGCGTGGCAATCCGCCGCCTGTGCGAGCACTTCGCCGTCAGCGACGCCGCGCGCCGCGTCGACCTCACCGTGCGCCTGCAGCAGCGCCTCGGGGACGCCGAGGAGCACAAGGTGAGTCGGCGAGGAGGGTTGACTCCGAGGGGGTAGTTCACTGACTCTATTCTCCCCTCCATCTCCCACCAAAATTGTAAATAGATAGAGAGAGAGAGAGATAGAGAGAGAGATAGAGAGAGAGATAGAAAGAGAGAGATAGAAAGAGAGAGATAGAAAGAGAGAGATAGAAAGAGAGAGAGATAGAGAGAGAGAGAGAGAGAGAGAAAGATATATATATATATATATATATATATATATATATATATATATATATAGATAGAGAGAGATATAGATTTATTATTTCTGTAGGTAGGTATACAACCTGGTGGCAGAACACTACAATTTACATTTACAACTAAGACTAGTAATACACTGTAATTTTAAAGCATTTTAAGGCAATGATAACAATAATATAACAATAATAACAGCATTACCTGTACACTTTATGACTGTCCTGCACGGAATTTTTAACTAATAAATGCACTTCACTTCACTTCACTTTCTCTACTTCTCTATTGCACTACACTTGCACTTCACTACTCTCTCTATTTCTCTATTGCACTACACTTCACAACACGTCACGACACTTCAATTTAACTACTACTTTAAATATAATTGTATATATTTATTGAATTGTGTATGAAGAGAAAACTACAAAACGAATTTTTGTTTTTGTATTGTCATATATATATCATTAAATTGTAATCAAACTGTTATCAGATTTATTTTATATATCTTCAGAGCTCATTTTTGCAAGGCAAAAATATTACTGCGCTTTGCGTTTTTATATAAAACTCATTTAACAATTTTTGCAAATCTATTTTGTAGGTTATGTCGCTGTAAACATGTAAAACCGCGAATAAGTTGAGCCGATCTTTCAAGTTGATCGTATTTAAGTGTTCAGTCGATGCACTGCCATGATATTTCGTTCATTTCTGGAATTTGACGTTTATGAAATATTTCTGCCACTTTAAATAGCGAGTGGGTATTTTACTCATTCGGGACTTTTCTGGTGTGTACAGCTACTCATCATACCCACATTATCTTCCGGGCCTGGTGAGGGCAACCCAAGTCCGTATACATTTGTAAGGTAGCGGATTACAGTTGTCAGTAATTTTCTCCTTGCAAGGGGGTATTATGATTGGAGACCCTAAATAAACAGCAAAATGCTTTGCGGGGTCATTAAGACTATTTCGAAAAAATCTCCGATCTGCGGGATCGTGAATGTAGGTGTATTAGCAATAATAACTTCGATGTTGTAAGACGTTCTGTAACTAGTGAACTTCGTATATGACAGAAGTCTTGAAAATAAATCGTAATTTTTTACTATTGCGAAATTTTCTCTAAGAAGAAAAGATCGAAGAGAAATCGATTAAAACGTAACTGCGACGCTCTGACTATTGAGACGTTACACATTACATCCGGGGCCAAGCACACCGGAAACTTTAGCTTTGAACTGTCGTGACATCTTAAGGATAGCTTGTAGATTTCATATTTTAAGACACGTTAGCGAGCTATGCCTATTTCGACAAATAATTGATTTTCTATCTATCGTCAGTAAAATACCCCGTTTATTTTCGCGAGACCAAATTTTTAGAGAAAGATGTGTGTATAATAATTTGTATTTATTATTTCTTAAAGAAAACGATTTCAATTACAATTTCAGCTCCCCGTACGTTAAAAGTTTTGGGTTACATTTCCAAAATACTAGTGGAAACCCGTGCAATTAAATTGCAAACAGAGTTTAAAATGCAATTCTGTATTCACGGGTATTAATGTATCATATTCATCTATTCAGATAGAAAAAGAATGAATTCTGTCTATAGTGTATCCTCGCTCTGGTCACGGGTATTAAATTATCATGTTTATCTATTCAGATAGAAAAAGAATGAATTCTGTCTAGTGTATCCTCGCTCTGGTCTGCCTTGCCTTCATCACCGGACTGCCTGAACCCACCCAGCTCCTCCGCCTTATCCCAGAGCTGCCTCGCCTGATCCCACTCCTGCCCGACTTACTCTGCCGTGGCCATTAAGATAACCGTTGCTATAACCTCGAAAGTTTTACAAATACAAAGCGTATTAGGAAGGCCCATTGTAAAACGCAAATGTGACTTCATCACAAAATGCTAATGTGCGTTTAACTGCACATTCTAGCGCTGCGCACAGGCTGAGCTGCGGGTTTGGTTCCAAGTTGGACACATAACTGGTTACTTTTGACATCGTTAGGTTGTGCGTGAAGTCAACATTAAAAAAAATTAAGTATTAATTTTTAGAGAGCATATACAAAAGTGAAGTCATCAGGGACATCCAGCTGACAAGCAACACTTTACTTGCTGGGATTGACAGTGCAGTCCATCGTGAAAAATGTTTTCATTTCATTTTAGAAATAATATATATGATAAGTTTATCATAAAATTCTTATACGAGAGTTATATTTTCTGTTCTGGTTTCTGTAAGATAACTGAGGATTACGCTTATATTTATTACATAATAACAAAAGTAAAGTTTTTACCAATATATTATTGATACAATCTAAATTTAAAAATTAAAATAATGAAGGAAATAATAAATAAAAATTTAAAGTTATACGCAGTTAAAAGACCGAATCCTCTTATTTAGCTTCTGGAGGCTATAATTTGAATTTAAAGGAGTTTGAAGTAAACTGTACACTTCTTGGAAGATCTTTACATATTTTTGCAGTGTCTAAACATGGTATCTCTCAAATATTTTTAACAAATCTAACTTTTAAACAATGGGGAAAATTTAACAAATAAACAATGTTTGTCGAAACCATGCGAACGTTGCACACTTTGGAAATCATTGTATTAAAAGGAATGATAGCTTCATGTTGTATTCCCACTTCGAGCGGCCGCCTCCTAATATTGATAATTACTGATATCGCTAATATTGCAAATTTAATGAACAGGATCAAATTTCGACATGAACTATTAAATTGAACAGAATATAAAATAATTTATTTTTACATAATTTCGATATTCATTATTTCATAATTTTACTTTCAGGCACTGCTGAGTAAACATGTATGGTAGAGCTGCCTATCTTTAGTGCCAATACATACGGTTTAAATGCTCTTAGGCTCACAAGTAACGTTGCGGTCAAATGTAGGCAACTGTCCAAAGTGAGAACCTTTGTCCTGTCCTCCATTTCTGTTTTGAGTTTTAACTCTTTCTATTTTTTTCTGGTTTTTACGTCTGCATTTCCTTTGGAAATGTTAATTAACGGTTTTATGTTCTTCCTCCATTCCACAACACGTTCTCAAGACAGAGCCTTGAACTTTCTGAAACGTTGATAGGGACTCCAGTGTCAGCTTTATTGGGTGTCAGGACAACGCCACGCCCACTCACGAGTGACCTTGTGCACGTGCTCTGCAGCATCAAAATCAGAAAAATATAATAAGACGTTTCTGAGCGTCTCCTGTCCTCATAGAAACCCGGCGGCGGCGTCCGCTGTCGAGAGTGGGCTGCCGGCTATTACACGGACATCATCCGCGTTATTACGTACTTTCCCAATCCATCGGTTCCCAACCTTTTAGATTGAGATTTTTTTAGTCCAAAAACAACAAAAACTGTATGTGACGTATGAGGGAGAAGACCATCTGCGCACGTTTTCTTGAGTTTTAGAATCCCTTCTCGTCATTTTAACTATAAATAGTTGAATGAGTAAAAGTTGCAGAGATGTATATAAATAAAAAAAATAAATAAAAAAGCGCGAGATTAGCAACATTTGACTAACTAGACATTTTCGTTCCAGAGTTCTGTAAAACGTATTTGCAACGGTAAACGCACTGCAGGTTTGATTTTTCTGCATTGTTAACAAAATAGTAACTCACCCTTACCTCTACTCCAACCAATAGAAGCAAAAGAAGAGTTCACCAAACGTGCGCATAGTGAAGCATCATTTACGTCCAGAAGCAAAAAAAGAAGTCATTTCAGAATTTGTAATGTATCAGGAAAACTGAAAAAAAATCCTGAACGAGATGGGGATCATTGACCCGGAAGCTGCACTACATTATTTGTTACAAGCATATTAAATCTTTTAAAAAAATAAACAATACAAGTGTAAACCAATTCATTGTATATCACTGTTTTTTTAAATAAACATTGTTTTTCTTTTTGATGATCAGAATAGTCTCTGATTGTATAGAAACAGTTATGCAGCAGAAAAGATTTACTTTTAACTTAAATTTGTGTACCGACTTGAATTGTTTAATGTCATGTGGCAATGCGTTGTAAAGTAACGTACATATTTTGTTTGTGGATTTCCGATAGTGAGCTGTTGATACATACACTTGATGAACATGATTTCTATGACACGTGTTGTAATTATAAATATTAGTATTGCATGAAAATATGTTCCCACCGTTAAGTAAGTCAGTTTTGACAAATATTACAAACTCGTAAATAAATAGGCAATACAATGGTAAGATTTCAAACTCAACAAAAAGAGCCTTACAAGGATTACACGGAAGGCATTTTTTCAATAGTAGAATAATTTTTTTTGCTATCTAAAAGAATAATAATCTTTTGGTTGTGCGGACCACCTGTAGTGTTAAAAATATTTTGAGGCCTACTAATTAAATATACAAGTAAAAAGAAACAAACTCACATATACGGAACGTAATTAAAAAGGAATAACATACGTATTGTTTAAAAATTTTTATTGGCATTTCTTAACTGTCTACTTGAACTCAATATCAGGTCGTCAAGGTCCAAAACTAAAATTAAAAACTTAGTAGTTTTGATTTTTGTTTGTCTTTCTCGAGAGAATCAATACTTACAAAAACTTGGGAGCCTCATCCTTAAGGCTCTTCGTTTATTCAAATTATTTCTGTACTTACTTTTTTTAAAAAATATCGAAGTTGGAAAAGCGCATCACCCACACGAGCGGTCGAGAACCACATCAAGTCTCTCGGTACAAGTTTAACAATATTGCTGGAAATCGTTGCCTAACATTCATTCCCGACGGGACCAATGATATTTTGAAAAAAATATTTTATAATCTAATCAATTGAAAGTTCAGTTAACGAGATAAATTCAATTAACTCTCTTTCTTATGATGATACTTATACTTTCTTAGTGTAAACGTCTGACTTCGACTTGTCTAGCGATCTTCGGCTCACAAATGAATGCGGTACCCGCAGCTCCTTTGCATCCCTGACTCGTCAGTCTCAAAAATCCGTACGACTTCAAGATCAACTTAAGACATAGTACGTATTTAATCCTCGTTACTTCCACTCACTGAAGATGGGAAAAAGTCCCGAAACATGTGTATGGCTGTGTTTTCATTTTATTAAATATATATCGTAATATACTACTTTGTGGTTGATATATCTACTATTGTTAATTAATATCCAATTGATATATTTGAGTTTTTAGTTCTTTTCATTCCAAGAATATAAAAAAAACGTTGCTATTTCAGAATATAAAGAAACCTAGGCACATCTCATACGATCGAAGGCTGCATAGGTTTCTTTTAATTTCTGTACTTATTGGAAATTAGTAATAAAATAGTAATTAAGGAAATGATAATCATTTTATTAATGGCGATTTCTTTAAAAGGTCTACACTTCGAGTAACGAAGGTTTGTCAGTCTCCACCGCTGATTTATTCAGAATCAATTCAAATCCAATATTTATTAAGAATATCTAGATGAATCCTCGACAGAGAATTCTGAAAATGAATTTGGATATAAGCCTGTCTCCTGTATCTGCCGAAGTTTAACCTGAGTAAATCCAAGTGAAGTGGGCGCATTTATTCAAAACCTCCTTACCTTCACAATACTTTAAATTACTTTTGTACCTCTTCAGTTTTCATGTCTATTATTATGTAACATTTATAACTTCCTATTCTTTGAGATGCACCAACCATTGAGCGGGTCCGCTTAAAGATTTTTAGTAACCCAACCAAGGTGGTTGGGTTACGGTAGTATAGTTATAGTTCTTTGTTCTTTTGATAATGTCAGTGTCCAAGCCTTTTGGTCATTCCTGAAACGGACTAATGATTTGATGGACATATGAATAATATACGATACGAATGATGACGCATTGGTGAAATGAAGGGCAAGGAAAACGGGAAAACCTCGATAACACCAACAGCGAACACGCTTCGCCCAACAGAAAATCCACGAGGATTGACCTGTAGTTGAACCCAGTCCCGTCGGCGGAAGGCTAGCGTTCTGACCGTTTCCCTGCGTGAGGCCTACAGAGTCTATCGATTTACTCGTAGAAGTCGTCTTTACTGCTTTGTTTATCACGAGAATTTTCAAACTCCAAGGTCGCACATTAACTTTCAAGCCATTCTTTTCAAGTCCATAAAGTTAACACAGCACAGATTCCTCGAATTTTCTGGAAAGTTTCTTAAACATCCTCAGTTTCTGAACCTAATTTGGTGAGAACAAGAAAATTTGTCGATTTAAAACCAATATCGGAAATAAGAAAGTGCTCTAATTTATCGCTAGGGCGGATTTTGAGACGCTAAAGAACCCCTGCGTGAAATCAGCCAGCGTTAATGCGAATATTCGACCATGGAAACCATTAATTTGTGAATCATTTGTGAGGGAGACGTAGTCTGCAATATTTGTACTTGAGCCAGCTTTAATTCGAAGCTGCGACCACGCAACCCGTTAATTTGTGAACCACTTGTGTGGGAGGCGTAATCTGCAATATTTCTACTTGAGCCGGTAGCTGGTATGTGCGGTGTGTCTGGCTGGCCGGAATCGTTTGCTGCAGCGATGTGAGCACCGATATAGCAGCAATTCTGCTTCGTGGAGGCTTTAGCATTGAACTAGTAGCCTGTAGCAGAAAAAATGCTGCTGAACGAAATCGTACAAAATGATCTTACAGAAAGTAGTATGTACACCGCGCATCTACAAATAAAAATCTCGAACTAGATTTTATTAATTGATTAGTGATTCCGGACGCGTCAACGACTAACGTTGTCCCGTATGTTTAGTGCGTGTTTTTTCCTCGGGTGGTGGTGGCGGCGAACCTCCCCTGCTGTAAGGCGAGATCTGATGCCGATCTACTGTCGGTTGCGGGGTTTCCCTCAAACAGATATCTCCCACCGTTGGGGCACCGCCCCAGCCGGGACAAGATCTACGCTTCCAAGCGGTCTCCTGGCATGTGTGGTAGTGTAATGCAAGTCGATGTAAGATTGTGTGCGTACGGGGTAGGATAGGACAAGGAACGGGAGGGAAAGGTCGCGCACTGTCTTTGGCCTTAATTGTTAGGGAACTGCTCTGGCATTCGTATGGTGTTGATCGGATAAACCACGAAACACTACCGATCAGAGCACCTGGCCGATAGAATTCTTCTCTAGACAGCGACCGAACCCGACCTTGCCATGTAGCTGGTGTCGAAAATCCTGCCACTTGACTAGAACCTAAGACCTCGCGGTCAGAGGCACTGCAGTGCCCTGAACCGCCTTTCCCGGTCTCTCTTGCCAGAGATACACCCACTCATTAAATGAGCCATTTTCCCTATAATTTACACGGAACGTATTCTGTTTGCCTACAAAAAAGTTGGAAAATTGTACGTTATTTCGGTAATGAAAATAAACCAATTTTTTAAAATTGTAATCTGCATATAAGATAATATTTTACTCTTCTATAATCGATACACCATCAAGGAGCTTCTACCTTACATTGAAAAGAAAAATCAACATTTCTTTCTAAATGGAAAACTGAAGTGTTTTAAACATTGTTATTATTGTTACTATTATTATTATTATTATTATTATTATTATTATTACTATTGTTAGTATGTTTGAAGGCTTGGCATCTGAGGCCTTTAGCCTTTTTACTGATTGACGTTAAAATTAATCATATATTAAATCTCAATTTTGTAGAAAAGATTGGCCTCTTTCAAGAACTGTATTGTTTTGTCAGTTGCTGTCTTGTCGGTGCCGAGATCTATCTTCATGTTGCCTCTCATGCCGCATCTGTTTCTAAGTCTTGAGAGATCTACGCAATCTGTCAGAATATGTTTCACTGTCATTATCATTATTATTATTATTATTATTATTATTATTAT